ATTAACGTCTCCTACCCCAACCCTGCAGGAGACGGGACCTCCATTTATTCGTCCCTATCCGAGAAGACTAGAATATCTAACCCTTTCTTGATGTTATAGAAAGGTAGCAAATTCTTCTCAATTATTTTAAGACCTTGAGTGTTGGTCTGGCCGGGGCTCGAACCCTCGACCTCCCGCACAACAGTCCAGCGCTCTATCCATTGAGCTAACCGGGAGGTGGTTAGCTCAATGGATAGAGCTAACCGCCAATCCAACGAGCTAACCTCGATGGTTAGCTCGTTGGATTCTTCTCCGTGTGAACCTCCAAGATTATGAACGTCCTTGTGTGCAGCTTCTTGTGCAATAGCAGTATCCACCGCCTCTTGGAATGTAAAGTTTTGCGATAAAAGTTTCTGCTTGATTTGGGAACAAGGGAAAAGGTTTCAATATATTTACAACTTATGAGCACATGGCATTGCTTGACAACCTCGCAACAAACGTAGGGGGAGACTGGAACCAATACTACTCAGTCTTTATAAATACACCACAAACATATTCATGCTAAAAATTGTCATAAAGTAAGGGAACATGTTTTACAGTGTTAACTCTGAATAGAGTAATTCTAAATCTTGGCTGCTTTTCTTTTGAAGGAATTTGCCACTCAAAGTGAAGCCTCTACATCACAGGAAGGACTGCAAAACAGGAGACTGAAAGTCACCTTGCTGAGTAGTGAGTGGAGATCCTCAACTGATGGAGACTTGTCAACCATCAACAGAGAACTGGCCATCCAGTTAGCTAAATTCTCCAATGTGGAAGTTAGTGTCTTTCTTCCTTGGTGCAGTGAAGTAGACAGGAGAAATGCAGAAAGTCATGATGTTCAGCTTATTGAAGCTGAAGAAATAGTTGGATTGAATCCAGTTGACTGGTTGATCAATTTTCCAGATGGACATGTGATGGATTGTGTTCTAGGACATGGGGTAACTCTTGGCAAACAAGTGCAGTTCATCAAAAAACATCACCATTGCAAATGGATTCAGGTTGTCCACACTGCCCCAGAAGAACTTGGAATTTACAGGAACATTTCGGAAGGAGAACAACAGCAAGAGGCAGAAGTAAAACTTTGTCAGCTTTCTGATGAGGTTGTAGCAATAGGACCCAAGCTGGCAGATGCTTATAAACGCTACCTTCGTTCTGTTAAAAAGGAGCAAAATGTTTTTGATCTCACCCCTGGCATTTTCTCTGAATTTCTAGGTGTAGAACAAGCAGTGGAAGAGAGGAGAACATTCTGTGTGTTAGTGATTGGAAGTGGAGACAGCTGTGAAGATTTCAATGTGAAAGGTTTTGACATTGCTGTCAAAGCAATTGCTGAGATGAATGATACGTCTTACCAACTTCGGTTTGTCTATTCACCGAGAGAGAAAGGAAATGAAGTAGCTGAAAAGTTGCTTCAGCATGGCATCAGTCGTAATCAGCTAATTGTGCGCAGCTCTGATGACAGCAGAAAAGTGCTAACAAATTTGTTCTGTGAGGTGGATCTTGCCATAATGCCATCAAGGACTGAAGGTTTTGGATTGCCTGGTCTTGAAGCCTTATCTGCTGGTCTTCCTTTACTTGTCAGTGGTAATTCAGGACTTGGAGAAGCTCTCAAAGAAGTGCCTTTTGGCTCATTCTATGTAATAGACTCTGAAGATCCTAAAGAATGGGCTAGAGAAATCAAAGCTGTACATCAAAAGAGTAGGACAGTACGCCTCAGGGAGTCAAATCTTCTCCGTGACTGTTATCAAGAAACTTATGAATGGGAGAAACCTTGCAAGACCCTAGTAGAAAAGATGCAGTACCTTGCACTTGGTAAAAGCTCTCATTGATTATAACAATTCATTTCAAATTTGTTAACAGATGAGTGAAATTATGTTGTGCAATATAGTGTTACAACATGTGCGATAGATATTCCTGTGCATGCTGTAGATGTTGTAGTTCAATTTTATCCTTGGTTCAAATTTTATTTTTCTTTGTTTCAAACTCATTATCATACATAAACATGACCAAGAACAAAGGAAAATAGAATTTAAACCAAAATAAAATTGAACTACAACATAGACATTTAAGGTCTTAGATGATAATGGTAAAGACTCTTTATCAGCCAGCTATCTTAAGGTGTGGTTGAGAAAGATATCAAATACATATGATCTCAACAGGGGGACTTAACTCCAGTTTGAAAGGTCCAGGTTTGAGGTCAGACTTGGGTTAAGGTGCTGACTAAGGAGTATATGACTTTATTATCCAAATGTGCTTTGTAGAGTACAAATAATGCGTGAGATGAGTACAAATATCACACAATATCACACAATATTTGTACTCCAGAAATATTTGTGAAATTCGCCCGCACTGAAATAACATTTTGGCGTGTTGGATCATAAATCTCTTATTAAACATTTTGTTTTGTAGTATTGCTGAGTATTTTTATTCGTTGGTTGTAATAAGACCTATGTATTGTGCTGGTGAAGTGCTCAGGACACCTGTCGGAGTAGGGGGGGACATGGAATTTGAAATTAAAACTATCAAGTTACTTGGGAGATAAGTTACAACAAATCAAGGTGTTTAGTGCTATGGAAATCTCTAGAAAGGTTTGCCTCTAAACATATTTTTCATGCATCTTATCTTCATATGGAAGAAATATAGCTAATTCAAAATGTTTTGCATTATATTTGTGTTATACATGTACATTTGGTCTGGTAGGGTCAATAGAAATCAGATCGACTACACCAGTCAGGAAGAAGAGGCCATCATCCCTTGCCACTGCTGATAAACCTTCCAAGAGAATCAGACAAGAGTTGACTCCTCCTAATCAGCCTGGTGGTAATTGTTAATATTAAGTTTTTAACATCTTCAAATAAACTCTGTGTAGCTTTTCAGTAATTGATAGGATGTGAACCACTTAAACCATATTGCAAATGAACATTTTTAAACTGTGTTTGTATAGGTCATAGCAGACATGAAAGTTGTGACATAGTTTTATATTTCTTCTCAGACCTTGAAAGTAATAGGTTGAGTGCACTGTGTGTTATGAAAGGTCAAGGGAAATTACTCAAGAAAAACCTTGATCAAATCATCCTTTTTGCATTATTTTGAAACCAAAAGCTTGATTCTATAGTATGGAAAACACCAGACAAGTCCTGTTGGGGGTAACAGAAAGCACTGATTAAGTCACCAAATCCTTTAAGTTGGAAAGGTGTCTGAACTCCAGGAATAATCAGAGTACATTTAAGTATTCAGAGTGCGAGAAACAGGACCCTTAACAGAATCATGTCCTTTTTTCTAACTTTTAGCCCTGGAAGGCTCATCTGGTTGCCGTTTTGAAGATTCCTCTGTTGAATATGGACAATTTCCCTCAGCTCCTGACAAACTCAGTTATCAGAGAAAACACATTGAGAGTGAGTTGAATTGCATTGAATATCAGTACTTACATTAATGCTCAAGGGTGTGAAAAGATATTGTTAGTTTATAGCTGTAATTGTGTCTTGTAATGTTATCCTCTTGGGGGACCAATTGTAAGTAATTTAAATTTTTTGCATTTTGCTGTTTATTTTCTCCTGATTATGGAGGGTTTATTTGATCATCGCCATATGAATCTGTATAGAACGGCAAGGGGTTAATGTCTCTTTTTATCCTCTTTTTAGGTCGTAAAAACCCGACATCTGAGGAAAGAGATCTGTTTGAAGGTGAATTTTTAGCAAATATTTGTAATTATTTTGTGTTTTAATCTCCTCGCCACCATCCGTGTTGCACAGATCCATTATTCTCTTCAATCACCATTATGGTTTAGTTCTTATGAATAGATTAAGTTTCATGGTTAAACAAGGAAGGCTTTTCATTCATAACGAGACAATTCTATCTCAGGGGGGATGGGTAAACGAATCGTATTGTGGTTTAGTTCTTATGAGTAGATTAAGTTTTATGGTTAAACAAAGAAGGCTTTTTGCTCACAACCAGACGATTCCATTTCAGAGGGACGAGTAAAGGAATCGTATGCGAGTAACGAAGGAAAAAAGTAATTATTTTTTTCCCACAGTTAGAGCTCTATGCTCTTTCATAGCACATGCATAAATAAAACAACTCTAAAGTCTATTTCCATGCACCAATTTCTACAGATTTTACTTCCTCTTCGATGTCATTACATAACATGTTTATTTGTACAGGACATAGTTTTATTTTGTTGAATATATGCATTTGAGTTATGGTAGTTTAGCCTCAGTTGCTACACTTTAAGGTACTTGATTAACTTACAGGGATGAATGCCTTGCTTTCTGTCATAGTCAGTAGCTAACTACTAACTGTGTTTCTTTTCATCGAAATGTATGTTGTTCAATGTGAATGCATGGAATACTCCCGTGTAATCAAAAGTTATAACTGTAAATAGCTGCAAGTTAAGTGATTCGAAAAGTTACTTGGAAATAGTATGGAAGTTCACTGTTTTCTTTTAATCCATTTTTTGTAGATCGTACTCTTTCTTTTTTTACGGAATTTCTCAAAAGAGAGTACAACAGACGGGCTCGTATAAACCCACTCTTTTGGGATAGCAATTTCATGCTACGTCTTGACGATGTTTATACAAGATTGTCAATCGTCTCTAGAAGAACAACCGATTTCAAGTTGGAGGACAACGAAGTGAACATGTCTGACATCTTTAACACTCTGAACAAAGGTGACGACGCCATGGTTTTAGTGGAAGGAAGCCCTGGAATTGGAAAGACAACTTTTTGTCTTAAAATCTCTCATGACTGGGCGAACAAGAAAACCGTAAATGAATCTACTTTCCCAGTTTTTAAACTTCTGCTGCTGCTGAAATGCCGAAACATCCATGGGAATATATGCGAAGCCATTTTTGATCAGCTCTTCCCCAATGATATGAAGAAAAGGCCAAGAAAAGGCTGCTAAATTACATCGAAGACATTCATAATCAGCCGAGCATCTTGATCGTTTTGGATGGCCTTGATGAGCTTCCCAAAACAGCTGAAAACCACGTGAACGAGTTACTAGATAGACAACGTTGGTCATTTTGCTATATATTGGCCACATCTCGTCAAGAAAAAGGAATTGTAGTGAGAAAGAATTGTAACTTTGCTGTTCTTCTTCAGATTGAGGGGTTCACGGAAGCAGACGCTTTCCAATACATCAGAAAGCACTTTGGTCCTAACCATGAAGCAAAGGGAAACAGGCTTATTCAGGCAATCCAAGAAAATACCTACCTCCACGCACTTCTAAGCAATCCTTTGAATCTGTTACTTCTCTGTGTTGTTTTCGAAGATTATGAGGGCAATCTGCCATCTTCTCGAACAGAACTCTATCGCATTATTGTCCGCTGCCTTTTACGAAGGTATTGTGCTAAAAACAATGTGAAAGCCTCTGCTGATGACAAAGCTCTAGAGGAACAATTTAAAGATAGCTTGCTGGTATTGGGTCAGTTAGCTTGGAGATGTTTGAAGAAAGATCGGTTTTCGTTTCAAGAAAAAAAGTTGGCAAAATTTGAAAATAAAATGAAAACTTTGGCAGCTCGTAAACTTGGTTTGGTATTTAAAGAGGCCAGTGCGAAGAAGATAAACCCTCAGCACGAATATCACTTTTTTCACAAGACTTTTCAAGAGTACTTGGCGGCATTATATCTGGCCAAAAAGCTTCTTGAAGAGAAAATCAATGTCTATCGTGATTTGAAGTTGAGCTTTCATCTCATCACAAGTAGATACAAACAAGTGTTTATCTTTGTGTCTGGCATACTGGGTGAGGCTACTTGTAATCTGTTTAGACAGATTGGTGAGAATCTTGAGAATGAATGCTGGAACTGGCTAGGATGTGAGAAGGAAGAGGCGACCTTCTTTACTGAGTGTTTCCGTGAAAGTGGAAAAGAAGAACAACTGGCAATGACTTTATGTTCCTTTATCCCGTTTTCACAGTCAATAACCGTGGACGTGATTGTTGACGAGGTTTCGTGTGAAGGTGTCTTAAGTGTTGTAAAGGCTTGCAAGAGCTTCTCACAATTACAATTGCCTGTTCATTTTACTTACAAATCTCGTCCCTTAGCGGAGGATTCTCGTTTTGTTTACAAGTTTCTAGCCTCATACTCAAGGCTAGAAACTTTTTCCATTTCAGTTCCTAGAGTAACAGAAGATGTAACATCCCTTGTGTGTAAAGTACTTCAATTGAACTCATCATTACATTCCTTTACTTTTGAAACAATGGTTCCCATTCCCTCTGAGGAAGCTGTTGTTATTGGTGACAGTTTAGCCGCCAACAAAACACTACAAACCGTGACTTTAAAACTGCTGGGTGGGTTAGTTGATGATTGGGTCACTGTTCTTGAAAAAGGATTGTCTGGAGATACACCGCTGACATCCGTTGTTCTGGAGATCAGTGGCTCAGTAAGGGAAAGTGGAAAAAATGCTTTGAAAAATTTGTTATCGAACAGATCACTTAAATCTCTTAGCTTCGCTGTTTATGGGGACATGCACGATTCATTGGCGACTTTAGTCGGGGAAGGACTCGCAGCCGATCCGTGCTTACAATCCCTCACATTGATTGTTTATGGAAGCGTCAGCTGCTCTGCTTTCACTTCGTTGAAAAAGGGTGTTGTAGAAAATAATGCTTTGAAGTCACTGGAATTAAAAGTGTTTGGAGGACTTCCTGACAACTGGGTAAATATTTGTGAGGCTCTTTATGCTGCGAAAAAGTCGTCGTCCATGTCTCTTACAATCAAACCGGACGTAGTCAGCAAAATAACAAATGCACAGGTGGCCTGTCTTCGTCCTGTTCTAAAGGAAAGAGTTGGCGCGTTTAAACTGCATTCATTTACTGTAAACATGTGGGGAGAGTTGAGTTGCAGTGGAGCAAGTGATTTATGCAAACTCCTGATAGCATCAACAGTTTCCTGTGTTAATTTGAATATCCACGGACGAGTAACAGATAGTGTTGCTACCTGTTTGGCTGAGAACTTTGAAAAAGTTAACTCGTGCACACTGTCCGACTTAAGTATCAACATTCGGGGAGAGTTGACGAGAGATGGAAACAGCATCCTTCAATCACTTGAATGCAATCAAACATTTGCCTTTACTTTAAATGTTCAGGACGTGAATGTACTTGACAAAAGTTGCGATGAAGTTAAGTTATATGGAGTTGATTCTTCGTCATTAAAAGAAGCGTTTACAAAATTCGAGTCTATCTGCTCGCGTGTGAGTAAATTGATTCTGAACTTGAATAATCCCAGTAACTCAAGTGAAGTGGACTGGGGATGTAGTGTTGGCGACGTTTTGGCGAAATTCGTGTCACTTGCCACATTAAGCCTCTCATTCAACAACTACCGTGGCTGGGATGAAGACTGGTTGGGTCATCTGTGGAGTGGTGTGGCACAGAACACGTCAATAACTACGCTGAGTATTACAGTCAACAGCTACAACGAGAAAGACATAGGCCTCTGGATGTATGGTCTGTGGGAAAGTTTGAATCAAAACACGTCAATAACCACGCTGAGTATTACATTGAACTTCTACAGTAAAATGGAAGGGGACCGGAAGAATGAACTGTATTGTGGTTTGAAAGAAAACACATCAGTAACCGCGCTGAGTATTACAGAGAACATCTACTGTGACGTATATAAAGACTACAATGTTTTTCTCTGCGGAGGTTTGGAGGTAAACACGTCATTAACCACCCTCAGTATTGTGGTCAACAACTACAAGAAGATAGGCAGATTGTGTTTGTTTGGACCGTTGCGCGGTTTGGAAGAAAACACGTCAATAACAACGCTAAATATTTCGCTCAATAACTGCGGTGAGATGAGTGGATACTCGGTGGTCGATCCGTTTGATTTTTTATCAGTAAACCCGTCACTTGTCACATTGAGTCTTGCACTTAACTACCACAGTAACTCATATGAAGACTATAAAGACTGGATACACAAATTACACGAATTCAGTCAAGCTTTGGAAATGAAAAATTCACCAATCAGAATTTGTTTTGAAGTAAACGTGTTCAGTGAGAGAAATGAAAAAACTTAAATGGGTCTGACTTAGCGAACAGCATATCTTTTAAACATTCTCAACACTGACTGAGTACATTAACATGAGCTTGTGGCGCACTTGTGTTACATTCAATGATTACAATTACAAAGACTGCAAATCTGATCTGGAACAGCTCGTCAGTAACTACATTCAACAGTTACGTTGATGGGAGAGGAGACTGGGTATGATTCTGAATTTCACATGGAGGAATGCAATCCTTGTGACATGAGGGCACTCACTGGTTGAATGGTTTTTTTTAAACTCGTCAAAGAAATGAATGGCGTGGATATGTTTCAGTTGAGCTGGACCAAACTGCTGTACTACAAACGAAGACTCCTGAATAATGTATGTTACATACTGGCAATGAAAGACTGACAACTCCGTGATGACGGGTTAAAGACCACACGACGCATGCGGAGTCCTTGACATTCTATGAGGTTAGAAGATCCTTTGCAGAGGGTAAGTTATTCACTTTACTTAAATCAACACCAGGCTTTTCGCGACAGGCTATTCTGTGCTTAAACAAAAAAAAAGTATATAGCGTGGTATGACTTCTAATTTCAGTGAGATTTGCTGTTTTTAGTTTGGTATGAATTAGACATGTTCAGATTCGTTTGATTTTTTATACTCATCTCAGGTACTATATGCGATAGATGCCACCTTTTGCTTCAACCAGGCACCGTTACCAGGAGTCCGGTGACACAGTGAGGTAACCACAAATTTCAAACATTTTATCGCGGTGTAGACCTTAGATAGATAGCGTCCAGCTGCCCTTTGGGAAACCAAAGGTTAGGAAATACAGAACGATATGAAACAAAAGTCAGAGTAATTTCATTAAAAAATGTGGAGGTTATTCATCATGACGAAGATGAATTAGAAAAGAGTGTTGTTATCTGAGGATGATGATATAGTCAGAACAGTCAAAATCATGATTGTTGTCAACTTTTTTAGTTTAAGAGGCTCATGGCTGTGATACTCTGTGGTTAAGTTACAACGATGCGGTGAGAGAAAAGTGATATGATCTGTTTACCATTTGTGTAAATAACGGTATGGTATTTATTGGACCTGAAAATCGTTACTCGTTCAAGTTGTTATTTTCGCTCCTAAGTTTTGTTTTGTACTCATTGCAATGTTCGCATCTGTTGGTATTTTTCTGAATGTCATAGTTTACCTCTGATTTGAAAAGTGTTTTTGTTTTGTATGTGAAAGTATTTATCTGTGCTCGCATCTTAGAGTTTGTACTATTGGCCGTAGAGGTGTCTAAAGTAGAAGCCTTTGCTTTTCAATACTCCCAAAAGGAAGATTTCCAAAGAAGCTTTTTTATGTCGTGGCAACTAAAGATTTAGACTTCTCTGTCACCGAGGGTTAATGACCACATGACGTAAGCACGGTGTATGATTGGATATGACGTTAGAAGACACGTGACAGGAGGTAAGTCTTCACATCCCTTGAAGTAACAGTAGGCTTGTAGGGAGAGGTTATGCTGTGCTAAAACTCGTAATTATTAGTGGCTGTACAATTTCGTATTTAAGTTAACATAAGTTTTATCCTTGTATGCCACAAAGTGAGAAGTATTTTCTCATATCATAAAACTGATTTAGCTTTCTTTTACGACAGGTACGACGCTTTTTACGCAGAGTTAGATTTTAACTTAAGTTTTTCGAAATGAAAAGCATCATTAGCACAACGGTAAGTTAGATTTGTGTCTATAATGCATAATGAAATGATTTTTTGAACGGTATGGATTTTAAGCTTTTCCTCGAAGTACACACAGTCTTTGTGACAGAACTAATCTTAGAAGTATACACAATGGTTATCACATTTTAACCATCCATACATAGTAGTAGACCGCTGAATTATCTACAGCCCAGTGGTAGAGCACCTGAGCGCGAAATCCGCAGGTCTGGGTTAGATTCTTCCCGTTGGATAAGATCCTTGCAATTCGTCAATAATTTCTCTGTTTTTGAATTACTTTGTTACTGTTTCTTTTACAGCCTTCATATCCCAGATGACCATCTGTCAGCGCGATGTAGGATCAAATGGTGTTGAAGTATCCTTGAGTTTCTCAACCGAGAACAAACCAAGTGACACATTATTTCTTACCAACTGATGGAAACAGTTTTTCAGACACATAGGCAAATCTTGTTAGTGTTATTAGGCTCATTGGCGCTTTTAAAGTTTAGTGATGGATGAAGAAAATACACGACTACTGTGTAACATTTTCTATTATTTAACCAGTTGTAAAGTAGAGTGAAAATTTTTCGTGGTAATTCATGTTATTCCTTCGTAAGGAGACAGGAACACAGTCTACCTCATCGCGACTGACATTGGAAGTGACTTCATCGTGAGTCAGACGATAGCACTTCACTACCACGATTAGTTCAACAACCTTTTTTACGATATGTAATAAATTTGTAAGGAGGATTATAAAATTACTCTTCAATCTTTGTATTGAAAGGTGATTAATGGGAGCAAAGGGGAGGAATTCAAGATTTTGTCACAAAGAAGGGCTTGCATCATTCTTACTCCACAGTTTTATTATAAAGTAGAAAGATTACCCGAGAATTATTCAGCATGCAGCAGTGTCAGCTCAGTGCGAAGATTAAGTGAATTATACCCTGATGTGGCGGAAACGTCGGGAAATGAAAATCGAAAAATACGTGACAGAATTGCAGTCAGAAAAAAGAAAAAAAGAACGTCACAGTTTCCATTTTCTTTCTACACTTCTTATCCAATGAAAATTGAATTGTTGGAGTTGCAAGCTGAAACGGAAGAACCAACCAACCAGACTGCCATTTGTCTTGCCATCCGGTGGCTGACCACCCTCATAATCTAGTTTTTATTTGATCATAAGCAACGAAGTCCTAACCGCCATGCACTGCTTCAGTGCCCTTTTGTTTAATTTTCATTGTTTGGTAACTCTTTGCTCTTCACATTACACATCCGGGTATAGCTACGGCGTGAAAGAAAACCAGCCATTACGGTTAGTGAAAACAGCTAGACCGCTGGGCGATCGTGTTTGTAACTAAAAGGAAATCGGTTACTAGTCGGAATTGCGCAGATTTTTGTAGAAGTTCAAGAAAACTCCCACAAAAGCCTATCCAAGTTCACGTTGTCTGGCTTGTTGAACAACCGGTTCTGATTAATTTTACTCGCCTTTAAAGCCATCCTCGCATGTTGAGCTCACCTGGAAAGAGAATCGGAAGTAAACGCCGTCAAATGATGTCTTCACGCAACTCATTTTACCTGGTGATTGCTCAGTGCTTGGTTGACACTTAAGTTCATATTTTAATGCGAAAAGTATGAGGATGCTCGTTGACCTAACATTAATTTCTTCCTCTTTCATATACCCTCCATTGAAAATGGTATGTATTTCGCTGAATTACATTCTTGGGAAACTACATCTGCATATGACCTCATATTTCGAATTTCTCGCACAGTACAGCAAACTTTGTTTCAACTCGCCAAATTCCTATTGTGTGATATGCCAAGGGATTTCGGGTAATAAATTTCGACCCAATCATTCCCCCCTCCCAGTTTATTACCCCTTCGTTTTCTTTTCTTAACCCAACCGGGTGAATGGGAAAAATAATCGAGAAGTTGTTTGGTACTCAGCAGGAGATAACGTATTTATTCAAAATTTTGTTGGGTGAGTTTAATCGTCTTTTGTTTATTTCTACTTGAAATTTGACTGAAGATTTTAAAATAAAAAAGCATCTTGAAATGGCTGTAGGAGTTCCACAATCCTTTTGCCTCAAAGTCCAGTCTTTAGAATGGTGTAACAGCTGAATTGTCACCATATTTGGAAACAGAAAGTCCTTTGGGAACTCTGGGAAGAAATTTCGTGAAAGCGATATGAACTTTCGCTTTTCAAAAGATGCGTATCTAAGCGTATTTTAACTGCAGTTATACCTGTACATGGCGTAAACTATGGGGTAATTTAGAATCTCAACGTGGAGTTGTGGCTAGGCCGTCGGCATGGCGGTGAGCGAAGATTCTTGAACTGTTGCAACTTTTGTTTTTTGGGCGGCTTGCACTGTCTGCGATCTTTCTGCTGATCGAAGGTAATTAAGCTTAAAGTTTGTTCGTTTTATGGAAAGGTTCCACGAGGAGAGATATCTTGCTCAGTAGTTGTACATGTTTTGGAATCATTTCGAATTTCTCTCGTGAGAAAGCGTGTTTCGAATCACTGCTGGTTGGATCGTAGATGACAATTATGAAGGTAGATCCTGGACAAAATGTTCGATTCGTCGTTTCGTTATGGCGTTTCGTCGTTTCGTTATGTCGAGTCGTTGTTTTCCCAGTTCGATTTGTCGAACTTTCAGTTCGTTTCGTTGTATTGTCAGTTGGACGGGTATTCTGAAGTTGCTCCCAGTTCGATTCGTCGGCTGGCCTCTTCGACTCGTCGTTGTACGAGTCCGACTCGTCATCGACCACATCGGTTCG